GATATACAGAAGGCAAGTAAATATCTGAAAAGATAGTCCATCTCATATGCCACCAGGAAAATGTAAATTAAAACAAAAAAGAGATAGCACTTCACATCTAGTAGAATGACCAAAATCTAAAACAGTGACAACACCAAATTCTGGCAAAGATGTAGAACAGTAGAAACTCTCATTCATTGCTGTTGGGAATGCAAAATGGCATGGCCACTTTGGAAGACAGTTTGTAAGTTTCCTATGAAATTATGCCACCTCTTACCACACGACAGACTAGTCTCACTCTTTGGTATTTACCCAAGCAAGTTGAACACTTACATCTACACAAACACCTGCATGGGATGTTTATACTGTACCAGATTTTATTCATAATTGCCAAAACATGGAAGCAGCCATAGTGTCCTTCTGTAGAAGAATGGATAAACTGTGGTATATTCAGACAATGGAATGTTATTTATTGCCAAAAAGAAATGAGCTATTAATCCATAAAAAGACATGGAAGAACATAAAATACACATCATTAAGGAAACCAATTTGAAAAAGCTACATACTGTACGGTTCCATATATTTGACATTCTGGAAAAGACGAAACTATTGCCATGGTAAAATAATCAGTTGGTGCCAGGGGTTGGGAGGGTGAAGGATGAATAGGTGGGTGGAGCACCGACGCTTAGGGCCATGAAAATAATCTGCATGACACTATAATGATGGAGACCTGCCATTATACATTTATCCAAATGCACAGAATGTACACCACCAAGAGTGAACCCTAATGTGAACTATGCACATCGGATGATTACGAGGTGTCGATGCAGATGCACTGATCATAACAAACGTACACTGTAGTGGTGCATGTTGATAGTGGGTTGGTTGTGTACGTGTGGGGATAGAGAGCATGAGGAAGGCTCTCTACTTTCCATTCACGTTTTCTGTGAACCTACAACTGCTCTAAAAAATAAAGTCCATTTTAAAAAATAGAATATATCTCTCACATAAATAATTTAGAAAGAAATGAAATTTGGAGGCAGCAGGTGTGGAATTCTCTGGGCATTGATAACTAAAAGTCGAGGGGTACATGATGAGATCTATGGGGCGGAGGGAGAAAAGATACAGGAACCAGAATTTTCAATCCAAGGCAGAATACTTCAGAGCCGTAACTCTGAACGCCTAAGCCAGTGTTCTCAAACTTCAATGCTGCCTCATTAACAGCGCAATTCAGTGGGTTCTAACCAGCATTTAAATAAATGGAATGGAACAGAAAAGAATAAAAATATAGCATGAATTGCACATAAAAGAGAGAGATTGATTTGTGACACTTTGGTTTCTGCTTTTTATGTGGATAGCTTGAGTACTGGGTCATGATATAAAAAGGTGTTTTATAAAATAGGTCATGATCAAAATAAAGTTCAAAGCTGCCGCCCTGTGCTATACTGCCCAACTGCTCTGGCTTCAATGGATCACACTCTCTAGTGGGGTAATTCACAGATTAAATCAGTGAAAAGATTAGCAACATTATTTTAGCTATGGAAGCATGTTTTGATGAATCAAACAGGGTTACAGCATTCACTGGTTCATTGGGGATGTGTGTGTGTGTGTTCATTCAGGTAAGGTTGTTCAATCTGTACTCATTACCAGGTCTGAGGAGCATTTAAGAAGGAATGTCCAGTAGACGGAAGATATTCAGATCCAAATTCAGGATTTAGGGCTAAGGCTGAGATAAACAGATAGAGCTGAACAATGAGGAGTGAACTCATTTCAGGAGAATGGGTAAGGGGAGAAGAAAGGGAAAGCACCCTGCCTTCATTTCAGAGATGGGAAATGTATGTGTTTGGAAGGCTTCTAAAAATGGTGTTCAATCAATCAAATGAGTCAAATATTTACCCAGTGGTATTTTTAGCATATTATTTGCTTAGAAAAATGCTTTTTTCCTAAGAAAAAGGGACACTTCTTATTCTGGTTGTTTTATAATTTTTAGGGATATTGTGAAATATCTTATCTCCTTATGTAATAGTGCTTTTAAGTGAAGTTTTCTTTGCAAAGATGGAATTATGAAAAGATAATAGTAACCATAAAATATAGTCATTTGTGAATCTAATCAAATGTGACTCCTCAAATTTTGAACACTATGGATCCAACAATGTTTATGATCAATAGAAAAACTACATATCTTGCTCGTAAATAGGTATTAATATGTAGACAGACACACAAAAGTGAATATTGGTGCTAAAAAGATAACTAATGAACCAAATTATTATATGCATTCAGTGGTTTAAAAAATAGCAAATATGCTTCCATTTTACTAAATTAAACTTTCAAGAGGTGCATTATTAGGCCATATTTTCCATTTAGAAGCTGAAAATTAAATAGTTGGTTAAAGTTGATGTGGCAAACATCTGTTTTCAGAAGTGACTATTATTTCTGTAAGAAGCATACGTACTCTCAAACATGTTCCCATATTTTTTTAATGTTATACTTATTTAAAAATTTACCCTTAGGGAGCAAAAAAAGAACGTATACAGATTATTCTTTTTCTCATGCCTCACTCCACTACATCTAACAATATTAAAATATATGGGATGAGTCCATGCTACAAAATAGCCATCTAGTTCATCTTTTGCGAAAATTGCCAGCCTCTCCTGTATTCCAGGGAAGAATGGCTGTAGTGCCCGCCTTCCGTGCCTGCTGTAGCAACCCCGGTCTTTGCTTTATCTTCTCCAACAAATGGCCCGTGTTTCCTTGAACAGAAATTACATGTGTTTGAAAGAGCAGATTTTAACTTTTATTTCCTCTAAAAAGATCGCAGCACTATGAGAATAAAATCTATTATTTTTCACTCCTACTGCACTCAGATCATTCTCATTTTAAAGCTAAGTATAGTTTTTGCTATACCATAAAGATAGCAAATAAATATGGAATTTGCCAAAGATTTTCAAATAGATTTTCTTTCAGAGGCCAAAATGGTAGGTGCCCTCAGGCTTCGCAAGCAAATAATGAACTGAGCTAAAATATCTCAATGCCTCTCTCTAGAGTGTGGATTTGTCCCGCCGCTATGGGGAGAGGGGTGTAGGTTCACCTTGCGCTCCACCCCACCCTCCCTCGCGTGGTGTTCCCAATAGCTGGGAACCGTGTAAGGTAAGAGAAAAACAAGACACAGTGCTCGACTTGCGGGAGTGAAGACGAATTTTCACACACTGCCTTGGATTTTATACATCTCCAGACTTCAAGTCACCTAGTATGAGTGACTATAAATTTTTTTGGTTCCTGTGGCCCTGAAAGGAATGAATTGCCAGCATTATCAAGCTGTAAATTGGTCTGAATATTCCAAGCATTCAATGCAGTGTTTTTCTTTAGGATGAGTGGGGGGGGGGGGGGGGGGGGGGGGAATGGGTTACAGCGATGGCGGTAATTTTTTTCAAATAATGATCTGAGGAAAACATGGTATTATTTCATGATATCAGAGTCCTCAGAGAAGCTCCAATATTTAAGAAATGTAGTATTATTTGCAGGAAGGGCACCTGAAAGGAAGCAAATGTGGATAACGTTCCCAGTCCTCCACAGCTGATTTCTCTGGAGAAGGGAGCCGAGCAGTGCCTTAGGAACTGCTCAAAGTTCCCAGACAGCCAGCGCTGTGGGATGTGGAGAAGGCGAGGATGGCGACAGACAGGACCTAGAAAGCGGCGGCTTTCAACTGCCCCCAGAATATTCGTAGAGGTAACGGGGACTCAGTAAAGAAACACAAAGGAGATGAACACGGCGCGATCGCCGGGGTCCTAGGCTGCTCTGCGAGCCCCGCGCGCCCCCGGCCGCCGCCCACCTTCCCACCTCCAAGGGACAGATCTGGACGGGAAACCCGCATGCACCTTCTTTCCTCTTTGGTTTATGAGTGACCCAGAAGGCTCCTAGCTCACAATTGAACAGTTTCAGGACGAGGCTGCCGGGGAGCCGCTGGCGACCGAGGAAGGGGAAGGACAAAGAGGAAGAGGAGGCCGGGGAAGGAGAAGGGAGCGGCGGAGGGGCGGGGAGGGGAGGGGCGAGGGAGGAGGGAGGGGGCGCGGGGCTGGGGGCGGGCGTGCTGGAGCCTGCGGGACCCGGACCCGCTCCGGAGCCAGCCCTGGGAGTGGCCAGCTCGAACCCGCGGGCCCCGCAGACCGTTACTCCGGCCCCCGCCCGGGGCGGGGCTTTCGGGGGCGCGGCGCAGCCCAACCCGCACCGCCGCGTCCCCAAACACCACCAAGGAGGGAAAACAGACGGAGAAAAAGGACAAAACAGAAAAATGCAAACGGGGGAGGGAGCTCACCGCCTCTCGAGCTTTAAATTGATTTCTTTGCCTTACAAAAAGGGAGAAAGGGAAAAGGAGAGCAGAACCCACGTGCGGGGAAGGTTGTTGTCTTCAAGCGCCACCTTCCGTCGGCCTGGGCCGCCGCGGGCCTCTCGGGCTGGCTCCGGGCCGGGGCGCTGGGGAGCGGCCGAGCTCCGCGGGGGGCGCGCCGGGGAGCAGATGCTCCCACCCCGGGGCGGGCGGGGCGCAGCGGACCCGGAGCCGGGCCGAGGCCGCCGTCTCAGGCTTGGCGCGTGCCCGAGTGTGTGCACGCGGGTAGTGAGCGCCCCCGGTCCGCGGTCGCCGTCGGGCCTCCCAGGGACCGGGCACAAAGGCGCGCCGGGCCTCTCCCCGGACCCGATCCTGGGTCCGCGCCGGCGCCGGAACCAGCCGGGTTCGCCCCCGACCACCGGCTCCGCGTGGTGCAGCGCGCCGCTCCCGAGCATCACGGGGAGAGGCGCATCTGTGCACACACGCGGATTTTTTAAAAATAACATATTTCTAGACATGCCTCCTCTCCCCCCACCCCCATCTTCGCCCAGCAGCCCGGGGGGCGGGGTAGAGGGGCGGGGCCTCCGAGTTAATAACGGGAGGTGGGAGGAGCCGGCCCGCAGCCATTGGCTGGTCGGGGGAGTGATGTCACCCATATGACACCCTGATAACTAGTTGGGAGAGAGACCTCAACTTTTTGCAGAAGGAGCGCGCGCGCCTGGGAGAGCTCGGGGTCCGGCGCTTGCGGTGGGAGCCACGAGCCGGAGAGAGGGGTCCCGGGCTGCCTCGACCGCTGTAGCCACCGCCTCTCCCCTTGCGACCGCAGCTCCCAGCGCGCCGGCGGCCGTCGCCGCCGAAGCCACCGCAACCGCTGTGTGCAGCCTGGAAGGGGGGGCGGGGGGGAGGGGGGGAGCCGCGGAAGCGGGGGGCCGAGGGCTTTGCAACTTGCCCAGGGAGGGGGGGGGGGGGGGGGGGGGAGGGGGACCTCCGCACGAGACCCAGCGGCCCGGGTTGGAGCGTCCAGCCCCGCAGCGGATCATGGTGCAGCAGGCGGAGAGCTTGGAAGCGGAGAGCAACCTGCCCCGGGAGGCGCTGGACACGGAGGAGGGCGAATTCATGGCTTGCAGCCCGGTGGCCCTGGACGAGAGCGACCCAGACTGGTGCAAGACGGCGTCGGGCCACATCAAGCGGCCGATGAACGCGTTCATGGTGTGGTCCAAGATCGAGCGCAGGAAGATCATGGAGCAGTCCCCGGACATGCACAACGCCGAGATCTCCAAGAGGCTGGGCAAGCGCTGGAAAATGCTGAAGGACAGCGAGAAGATCCCGTTCATCCGGGAGGCGGAGCGGCTGCGGCTCAAGCACATGGCCGACTACCCCGACTACAAGTACCGGCCCCGGAAAAAGCCCAAAATGGACCCCTCGGCCAAGCCCAGCGCCAGCCAGAGCCCCGAGAAGAGCGCGGCCGGCAGCGGCGGCGGCGGCGGCGGCGGGAGCGCGGGCGGCGGCGCGGGCGGTGCCAAGACCTCCAAGGGCTCCAGCAAGAAATGCGGCAAGCTCAAGGCCCCCGCGGCCGCCGCCGGCGCCAAGGCGGGCGCGGGCAAGGCGGCCCAGGCCGGGGACTTCGGGGGCGCTGGCGACGACTACGTGCTGGGCAGCCTGCGCGTGAGCGGCGCGGGCGGCGGCGGCGGCGCGGGCAAGACGGTCAAGTGCGTGTTCCTGGACGAGGACGACGACGACGACGACGACGACGACGAGCTGCAGCTGCAGATCAAGCAGGAGCCGGACGAGGAGGACGAGGAGCCGCCGCACCCGCAGCTCCTGCAGCCGCCGGGCCAGCAGCCGCCGCAGCTGCTGAGACGCTACAACGTCGCCAAAGTGCCGGCCAGCCCCACGCTGAGCAGCGCGGCCGAGTCCCCCGAGGGCGCGAGCCTGTACGACGAGGTGCGGGCCGGCGCCACCTCGGGCGGCGGGGGCGGCAGCCGCCTCTACTACAGCTTCAAGAACATCACCAAGCAGCACCCGCCGCCGCTCGCGCAGCCCGCGCTCTCGCCCGCGTCCTCGCGCTCCGTCTCCACCTCCTCGTCCAGCAGCAGCAGCGGCGGCAGCAGCAGCGGCAGCGGCGGCGAGGACGCCGACGACCTGATGTTCGACCTGAGCTTGAATTTCTCCCAAAGCGCGCACAGCGCCAGCGAGCAGCAGCTGGGGGGCGGCGCGGCGGCCGGGAACCTGTCCCTGTCGCTGGTGGATAAGGATTTGGATTCGTTCAGCGAGGGCAGCCTGGGCTCCCACTTCGAGTTCCCCGACTACTGCACGCCGGAGCTCAGCGAGATGATCGCGGGGGACTGGCTGGAGGCGAACTTCTCCGACCTGGTGTTCACGTATTGAAAGCGGCGCCCTCGGCTCGCTCTTTCTCTCGGCGGCGGGTGCAGAGCTGGGTTCCTCGGGAGGAAGTTCTAGTGGTGGCGATGATGATGATGATGATGATGGTGGTGGTGGTGGTGTTGATGGTGGCGGTGGTAGGGTGGAGGGGAGAGAAGAAGATGCTGATGATATTGATAAGATGTCGTGACACGAAGAAATTGGAAAACATGATGAAAATTTTGGTGGAGTTAAAGTGAAATGAGTAGTTTTTAAACATTTTTCCTGTCCTTTTTTTGTCCCCCCTCCCTTCCTTTATCGTGTCTCAAGGTAGTTGCATACCTAGTCTGGAGTTGTGATTTTTTTCCCAAAAATGTGTTTTTGTAATTACTATTTCTTTTTCCTGAAATTCGTGATTGCAACAAAGGCGGAGGGGGCGGGGCGGGGGAGGGGAGGCAGGACCCGCTCCGGAAGGCGCTGTTTGAAGCTTGTCGGTCTTTGAAGTCTGGAAGACGTCTGCAGAGGACCCTTTTGGCAGCACAACTGTTACTCTAGGGAGTTGGTGGAGATTTTTTTTTTTTTTTTCCTTAAGAGAACTTAAAGAACTGGTGATTTTTCTTTTAACAAAAAAAAGGGACCATTGCAACTTTTGTTAATTTAATTTTTTTTTTTTTTTTTTTTTTTTGGAGGGAGAAAACTGATGTCTTCTATGCATCCGATTCTTAACAAAACTGCAGGGAGCTTGAAAAAATGCAGACTGTACAAACGCTTACAAAAAAACTGTGAACTGACTTAAGATCAGAGTTTACTTTTCAGATCAAATTGTTTATGGTTTTACAAATGTGATTTCTACTTGCCAACTTTTTTTTTGTAACTTGTTCCCTTATACCTCCTTGATTGAATACCAGACAGCCTAGACCTCAGTACAAAAGGTATTGAAACATTTTTGATACATAACAGACCTCAGTCTTTTTTAAAAATTAATATATTTTCAGGCGTATTTTTGTACAGTGAAAAGGGAACATTCTTGCTGTGTTTTTTCAGTAAGACTTTCAGGCACTTCTTCCCTTTTGATTTCTTTTTTTTTTTCCTCTGTTTTTTAGCATGCAAGTATGTTGGTACGTTATGTCCTGGTTTAAAAAGGATTAAAATTTTAAAATAATCCTTGCATCTAAAGGCCTTGTGGTTTAAAAAAAAAAAGCAAACTTTTTTTTGTACAGCTATAGTAGAGATTTGTTCAATATTTGTAGGTAAAGATTTATTGAAAATGGTGATATAGACCTCAGAGCTGTTATCTTAGTTTAAAGATTGTATATGTACTGTACTATAGTAGGGTTTTATGTATCTCATACGCTGTGATGTGGATGGGGCCCCAGATGGAAGGTTTGAAACTGGATTCTCGATTTTTAGCAAAAAAGAAAAAAAAAGGCACATAGTTTAAAAAGTTTCTCATTTTGTGCAATATAATCTAAATAAAGTACAGACCATCTGCATAGTTTGTAGCAAATGGTGGCAAAGCAGACTCAATGCACTGTCGACATCATTGCCTGTTTTTTTTTTTTTTTCTTTCTTTTTTTTTTTTTTTTGTGCTGGAAGTCTGTATCTTGACAATTTTAATAAATCAGCTGGAACTGATAGAAACTCGCATCGCCAATAGTCTCTATGGAAGTCAAACTGGAGGTCCTGTTGTCGCAGAGCATTCGGCGGTGAGGCTGTTGTGTGCGCGGATGCGGGGAGGCGGCAGGAGAGGATTCTACATTGATGGGGTTAGGCTGAAACGTGTTCTATCGGCAGGCCGATTTCTTTTTCTTTCGCTGGTTGTGAAAGACTGGGGAAGGGTGTTCTTTCTCTCTGCCTTCCCTTCCCATCCCCAGCTCCCCATTTCGTATTTCACCTCCTCCTCCACTCCCTGCCTCTTCTCCCCACCCACCCTGGCGGGCGGGCAGCGCGGAGGCTCGGGCGCTGGCCGGGGAGGGGCGCATGGAGGGGACTGGGTTGCTAGCTCGCTTCGTCGGGGTCCTGTGCGCAGGGGCTGGTGTGTTCTCCGCGGCGGGCCGCGTCCCCGCAGGGCCTCGTCCCTGCAGGGCCTCGCGGTGACAGCCGCCCTGGGCAGCGAGCACTCGGGTCACTTCTATCCCCGCCTCTCAAAGGGTGGGGACAGCCGTTTCCAGATTTGAAATTTTTTTTCCTGTTCTTTATTTTTAACGCTGCATCTTCGCGTGCTCCGAGGTGGTTGTTGGCGGGGAACGCGGCCGCAGTTTTTGACCTCTTAGCGGTGAAGAGGAAAGAGGAGGAAAGGAGAGAGGTGGTCTGTGTCGGTTTCCTTCTGTCCCCCGGGGCCGTGGAGCTGTCGGAGGGAAGGAAGACGGTGCGGGGCCGCTGGGAGCGCGGGGCGCGGCGGGACTGAGGCTGCGAGCTGGTGGGAGGCGGGAGTGGGGGGAGGACGCGGCAGGCTGGCCGGGGGCACCCCGAGGAACATGGCAAGGCCTCTGTGCGATCCAAGTCGCGGCCTCCGGGGTGCCTGGCAGGGCGGAGCCACTGGTGAGCGCGCGGGGAGCAGGGGGTGGCTGAGGGGGCTTGGGCGGTGGCCCGGGACGCACCAGTCAGAGCCCTGCGGCCCCGAGTCCCCGTCCTCGCCACCGCGTGCTCCTGGGCGCGCCCCGCCGCGGGCCCTGGAGGCGCCTGGAGACTCCAGCGCTGACGTCCCGGGCCCGCGCGCCGGGGAGGGAAGCCTCGGGGCTGCGGGGTGAGAGGAAGAAAGCAAACTCCGGGACCAGGAGGCCGCCGCCCCCGCACGCCCGGCGCCCTCACCACGCCCTCCCCGCGCTCCCGCTCTGGGGCTGCCCCGGAGCCAGCTCCCCGGGGGCGGCCGCGACAAAGGTGGCTCGGCATCTCGATTGTTCTCCGGGAGCCTCCTGGGGGTTCGGGCCGTGGCGCGGGCGCGACCTACTCCGCTGGAGCTCCCTGCTCGCTGGGCACGGTGCGCCTGTCCACACCCCCTCGTTCCCCACCATTTTTCCTGACCCGCCCTTGTCCCCGAGCCCTCGCGGCATGCCCTGGCAGGCGATCGCGGCCGGACACGCGTGCCCCGGGCTCCCGCCCCCGTCCCGAGCCCCCGCCGCCTCTTTCCCCGGGGGCCGGGCGGAGGTAGACTGGGAGGCCGCTCCGGGCCCCGCGCGCCAGCCCCGGAGTTCCGCCTCCCGAGCTGCGGCGCCTGCAGCGGAGGAGGTTTGCAGCGGCTAATTGAAACTTGCTGCACAATCACCACGACTCTTTCACCTACTGAAATGAGTGACCGAGGTTTGGACTTCCATTTTTACTGAGATTTGGCAAGACCGAATGGAAGCGTCCGTACGGTGATTGCAGCTGCTAGGCCAGAGGGGCCCCGGCGCCCTTCCTGCCTCCCCTCCCGCTAGCGTTCGCTCTGCTGGAGCAGCCCCCCAACCCAACCCCGCGCCCCCCGACTGCGAGCTCTGGCCTTTCCTCCGCCCCCGCAGCCTCCAGTTCGGGGCCTGCCTCCTCCCCAGCCCCCACCCCTGGGATGCGAGGCCAGCCAGCTTTTGCTGCAGATGGACAGGTTTCTTTTCTGTGGCTTTTTCCTTTCGGTGAACCATCAGATTTCAGTAGTACACTTGGGAAAAGAAGGGGCTAATGGCGTTAACCAGGTTCTCAGTATAGAACTGGATTTCTGGAGTTGTTTACCTCCCCCCCCCCACCCTCTCGACATGTAGACTAAGGCAGCCATTGGTCGTACAACTTATTTTAGCCACGAATAATTGAACCAGCGGTTTACAATTGGCACTTGCTCTGTGCTGGTGATTTTATGTGGCAGCCCTCTGCTGCAGTTCCGAAACTTGTTGACAACGCAAACCCATTGATAAAGATGATCTATGTATTTTGAAAATCTGAAAACTTGGCATGTCTTTTATGTTTTCATCATAGATGAATCTTTGGACTTTTTCTGTGGTGAGCTGGAAACTTTCAGTAAATTAGTCAAGTAATAATTTGGCCTCAGAATGGGAAGAGATAGTCATTTTTTTTTTTTTTAAGTCTTGTGGCGTAACTTGACAGAAAAATAAAAGTAATTGGTTGGCACTCTAAATTTAAAACCTGTTAGAACTCAGGACGGGCTCTTGAATGCGCTTTTAACAATATTCAAAGCTGTTTTGATGAGTACATTGTGAGAATCATTCTTAATGAATTCTTTATTGAATGTCTAAAACATATAATACACAAGGTATTCTTGCCACTGGATAGACTTCAATAAAAGTTTAATTGATTTTTTTTTTTGTTGGTCTCTTAAGTAAGTCTTATTTTTAACTAAGCATTGACAGAATATCTTAAAATGGTAAATTGGGGGCGGGGGTTGGGTGCTGTGTGCTCGGCAGCCTAGCCAGTGGGGATCCTGCTGTTTATTATAAGTAGTTCACAGACTCTGATGGCATTTTGGTAAGCTTTCCATCTTTAAGAAATTGAACCAGCATTCTCTTATTAATTCCTTAAACTGTGGAAGTAATTTCCAGTTCTTATACTCTGATATGCATCCCTTTTATTAAAAAAAAATGCTAATAAAAGGCAGTGTACTTAAACAGTGCTTTGCAAATATTATGTATGTTATGAATGGCTACAGACACTGGGCAAATTATTTGTAGAATGATGATCCTTCGCGAGAAAAAAAATCATTACAAGTCTTTTGGGCACAGAACTTTCTTTTTAATGTTAATCAAGGGGAAGTGATTTAAATATGCATGAATGTAGCAGTCAGGGTGATTTAGTTGTTTTTTTCGTGAAAGAAAAAGACTCAAAAGACAAGACATTTTTCTCTTCTCTGGGAATTGAAATCATAATCATCTGATATTAATACAGTACAAGAAATTTACATTTGTTTTTTACTTCAGAATTTAAGTGACTTTTGCCCAAGGAATTTGAAAAATAAGGCAAATAAGTTGCTCTATTTTAAAGTAGTCATTCAATATAAATATATTATATCAACCTTAACTTTTTTATTCTCTGATATGACTAATAATATGTATATTCTTACTTTTCTTCTAACGGGCATATGTATTCTTGTGGACACTCTGAGAGAGGTTTTCGCGAACTCTCCCATTTATAGAATCTTTATACTCTTTTACTGTGTGGTTCCCTGCTTTTAACAGATTTCTGAGGCAAATATATTTGTGCTTTTTTCTTATGTAGGAAGACCAGCGAAAATAGTTTACTGAGTTGTCAATTTTATCAGTAGATAAGAAACTTTCTTTATTACAGTTTCAGGGAAGATTTTTTCAGGATATTTCTCAGTTATTCTAAGGGCCAAATTTTATAAAATTTCCACTAGGAATGTCAGTTTCAATTACCCTTTGTATAGCCTAAGCCTGTGAGGATGACAAGAATGAGCCTTACCTATCCTAACACAGGAATTTACAAGTTCCCAAAGTAACTGTCTCCATGTAACTCTTGACATGCTTTTCTGAGATTTGGCTTATTTTTATTATTGGTTCTTTCTCACTGTTCATTCTATTTGATTTATTCTGCAACATCCCCTTTTATTTGATGATCTGGAAAATTCTGCTCTTTTATAACAACTCAGGATTTTTTTGTTCACTTTTGTTTTTTGCCCCTTCCTGTGGAGCCTATGTTTTCAACTATAATAAAGATGAAACAAAATTGATGAAACTGAGCTCTCTTCCATTTTACTTACTGCTGGCTTTTTTTCCCTTGATTCCTACCATATCGTCTTTTTTTTTCATTGTATTTTTTTTAACACTACCTATATCCATTAGCTGCCTAATTAGTTTTATCTGTTCCATGTGGATGCAGTGAGTTTATAAGAGAATTTCACAAACAAGTAGTTTTTTAGTGAACTTAAAATAAACAGAATTTTAAAGGAGACCTATTTTTATACTCAATAAAAGCACAAAAGTGCAGAAAGTATAAAATGGCTTACAAAGGGAGACACAAGTTCATAATGTTCCGTGTATAAAAGTAATAACTTTATTGGGTAGAGATATTCTTACAAGATCTAGCAGCTCTGCCAGTGCACAGATAGGACTGTTTTACATGATCTGGGAACTTCTGGTTCCTGCAGTTGCAAACAGACAACTTATCTACAGAGAAACAAACCACTAAAAGCAATATGATCGAGCTGAGATGCGGTTTCCAATGAGCAATTGGTGAATTTAAGCAACCTGGATGTGCATATGTGGAGGCTCCCGTCTCACTGTTTGATCAAACTTCTTTTATGTCGTCATGTAGAATTGATTTTCTCTGCTGTGGAAATGACAAAATAAAGCAATATGACAGAAAAAGTTTTAAAATGCAGAAAAAATAGGATTTCCTCTAGGCTCCTTGAAGAGATTCCTTTAATAAGATGCTTATCTTATTTTCTTAGACACATTACATTTCCCCTTCCAAAAAAAAAAAAAAAAAAAACAACAACTGGATCTAATTTATCGTAGAAAGAATTTTGATCAAATAGATATTGACAAAGGGCCCTCTGTCACATTTTTCTTCATCCAGCTTTTGTTCAAAAACAGTATGCCTCCTCCCTTGAATCACATAGGGAGAAACGTTATACGCCATTCTCATTAATTTCCCATTTCGTCTACTTTTACTCTTGTACATATGTTGTGGGTTTAAGAGTCTTTTGCATTTGTTCCGTGACACCTTTTTTTGAATGGACTATTTTAAAACGGAGGCCTCTTTTTCCGGTTTGGGACTCCTCGTGGTGATGGCATCCCATAATGCTTCTTGGCGGCCACCAGGACAGAACCACCTGATGTGTTAGAGCAGTTTTCAGCATGACACTGTTAACAAGTGTGTATTTTCCAAGGCCACATGAAACTGACTTTCTTAGCCACTCCAGGTTTGGGAGCAGAAAAGCTGAAAAACCCTTTTGTGTAGAAGTCTGAGTGGTTTGTGGGGGGGACCTTTTTTAGAGTTTGCATGCCAGCGCACGACCTATTGCTGTGAAACAGAGAGAGGGTAAAGCTACCTGAGGCAGTGCGCTGGAGGATGAAGTGTTTGATAGCACTAGGGGGAAAAGAAAATGCATGGCAAAGTTTCGTCTTCTCGTAGACTATCTAGCATGCAGAGTGTAGTGTGTTGAAACGGTGTATGACATTGCTGTATCAAAGTTGTAAAATTAAGCATTATTTATTGAAAACTATGTATTTTTTTGTAAAAACCTGATCACATAGAGAATATCAGTGGCTTGTGCTCGTGCTTCAATCGAACCAGCTTCTTGACCCACCCCCCCCTTGGTATGCAGTGTTAATGCTCAGGGTTGAAAATAGTACACTCCATTGTCTCTTTTGCAAGAGTTTTTCACAGAGGATTACATTTGTTCAAAAGACTCTAATAAAATTGTGTGATCAATCTTCACGTGTGGTTTTTATGTGACTCTTTTCTAGTTTTGCATTTGATAACTGCTGTTTAATTCTTAAAATGTTGTCTCAGACTGGATATTAGGGACAGGCTTGAAACATCCCGATGTCTCAGCACCCACATGGCTGTCAGCCTCCGCAGGAGGAAGCCACGGGAAGTGGAAAGTGAGTACCCTGAGCAGGTTGGAGAGCTGCTGACCGTGGGAATAAGCATGGTGATCACATCTCGATATAGTAAACTGGCCAATAGAGAATACAACCACAGACAAAGTGTAGAGGGGTAGACAAGCATGTTTTGTAAGAAACGTTTGCAGTAGAAAATGAAGGACAACTATCAGGGGCAGTTGCTGCTATTGAATTCAATGCCAGCATACTCCATTCCTCTGTGTCTTTTTTCTATAAACAATTTACAGTGTAAATGTATTTTGACATAGAAATCATTCTGTATTGAGATTCTTGATATAAAATGCTTTGATGGAAGCCTGAAGGTGATTCTTGGAATTATTATCA